CACACGCCGGTGTGAGTTTTAAGCTGCCAGGTTCAGGACTCAAACCGTAGTCGACTACATAGGAGTCCAGTGCCAGCCATTATGCTAACTGCTGGTCCCATACACGGTCTTAAAACAGAGATTAGGTCAAAGCCATCACTAATTTATCACTGCTCCCTTCTATCAGTGGATTCTTGAACACTGGGTACAGTAAAGAAAATTTAGCGGGTGCCAACTCCTCAGGTGATAGCCCTTCTTTTGCAGTTTCCACATAGATGATTTTAGTTAGCCTCACACTTGCAGAATCATCCCTCTTAGGGCTCAAGACAAGAATGGTTTGATTTAGGAATACTTGAGTAGCCTGAATGGCCTGGCACTGACCACCAGGATCCTGACGGGAGGAGCTCTGGCAGCCTTGCTGATTACCATATTGACTCATGAGCTGCTTCAGCACATCAGGCTGACAAGATGGGCCTGCAGCCCTCCCACTAGAGTCCCGTGTTATCACAAGGATGCAGCCTCCCAGCTCTAGTTAGGAACTAGGTGTTGAGCTGATGCCCCACACCCAATGTCCCGCATATTTCTATTTCAGTAACAGGGCTCCTTCTGTTGAGCCCTTTCTACATGTCTGTGACAGTCATCTGCTCAAACCTCCTTCTAGAGCAGGGGCCTTGTTTTCCTCATGCAGGCTCTTCTCTCTGAAAGGGCTTGAGGCCAGTGGTGGATCAGCTCTGCCAGTGTCCTTTCCAAGCCTGCAGCCTGTCTCTGACCCCCAGGACAATGGTCGGGCCCTAGTTACCCAGTGACAGAGATCCAGGTGGGCCCACTAACCTCTTGTAATTTTACATTTCAACAGACAGAAAGTCCCATCATTGTATTCTACATCTAAAAAGACTTTGAGACTGTGCCAATATTGGACTTTTCCTTGTTTTTAAAAAAGCTAATTCAAGTTAACCCTAATCGTATCTTAGTGAATGGCACTGAGGTGTGTCTGGGGATGGTTGTTTCCCTGAGTACTCAGCCTTACTGGGTCGCCCACACTTCTGTTACTGGCAAAGGCCTGTCTCTCGGCCCCAGCCCCATTCCCCTCTGTGGTTGGACATAGAGACAGGTGCAGCTTCTACCTGAATAATCCTGTCTTGATAGGAATAAATAGATCAACACTCTTCACTGACAACTTCCCACCTGTGATAACCATCAATAATATTGATGCGATTGCGTTGTCCTCCACTTTGACATCAGAGTGGGTAGAGGCAGTGTGGCTTGGTGGTTAAGTCTAAGGACACTGGAGTTTAAATCCTGCCTCATCCCCTTTTTTGGCTAGATGAGCTCATATTTTCTGTGTACCAATTTTTTTTTTTGAGAAGTTTTTGTTATAGGGCGTGTGTGCTTGCCAGACAGACAGAGAGAGACAGAGAGACAGAAAGCGAGAAATCACCCCCCCATGGGGGATGGCCACACCACAATCCCTTCTCCTCCATTCTCCTCTCGGGATCTTGGGCACGCACGCACACGTGCCCGGCGTGAGTTTTAAGCCACTGGGTCCAGGACGCGAACCACGGTTGACTATGTGGGAGGCCAGCGACATAGCCATTACGCTAACTGCTGGTCCCTGTGTACCAATGTTTTCATCTGTCAATGAGTATAGTATTGTGAAGATTACATGAAATAATAACTGTAGCCTGCTTAGGATTATGCCAGACCAGTGTGATCACACCATAAATGCTCAGTTTATTGAGACTGAAGGGACTTTAGAGAAAGGCACAGGGGAGAGGTTAAGAAAGGTGGAGAACAGGAATAGAACAAAAGGTGTAAAAGAGAGAGGGCATGTAGTGGGAATAGGCACGGAGCAAGGCAGGACGGTCTTCCATCTCCTACCCCTGAGGGTGAGTGGCCGCAGAACACGTGGAGGGACAGTCAGAATCACGGTGTTCCCAGAGGCATGATCGGAACATTGAGACATATCTCAAGACTGTGAGTTTTGATTCTCAGAGAAAACTTTTCCGACATGGGACAGTCATGAGTTTGCACACTCAGACATCCCTTAAGTCAGCGACTTCAGGGGACAATGGAGACTTCTCTATTCATCTCTCTACTGCTGCTCAGCTGCTCAGCTGCTCAGCTACTCTGAATTCCAGGGAAGTGCACACAACCCATGGATTCCTAAACCTAACCCTGAACACAAGGGACCATCTCTATCAGGAACAACAGGAGAAATTTAGGGTACATTTTTGCACTCAGGAAATATGTGCAGAATAATCTCTAAGAGACAAACATCCATTTACTTGCTCCCTCTCTATTTCATAAGTCTCTGACAAAAGGAATATCTTACCCCCCTGGTTTCCTTTCCAGAACCCCGATGGCACACACTTTTATGTTCAAACTCCCTCCCACTGCTTTTTCTCCTGCTCAAGTTCCTTTGACCATCCCAAACAGAGGAGTCCTGCCAGGGATCTCTGTGCAGTAAAGCCTCAGCCCTTCCTAATGATGCATGAAAAGAAAATGTGAAAAAACAGAATAGCATTAGCTACTGTGGTTCAATCCCTAGACCCAGGAGCTTGAAAAATATGCTAGGCGTATGTGTGTGCATACCCTGTATCCTGATGGGATATAGAGATGGAGGAGACGGGACTGCAGTGTGCTTATGCCCCATTGAGAGTTGCTCTCTCTCTCAAGTGCATGAGACCTCTGAGAATAATAAGAAAGTTCTATCAAGAATTTTCTCATTTTGAGGTTGAAACAGCAGAGAGATTATATAACACCACCAGGGTCACAAAGTTAATGGGCAAATGATTTACTACCAGTTGATTGGACAACTTTGACTTCAGTTTTAGAAGATGAGAGAAATGTACCCTGGAGCTGCCTTTCATCTTAGCAGGTGTTAGCCCTTTGAAGAACATCGGGGATTTGAAAATTTATTGAACCAGTAGGTTAAGCAGAACAGAAAGGTATAGCCTTGAGATGAAAAGAACCAATGTCCACTTCCAACTCTACAACTTTCAGGTAGTGAAACCTCAGGCAAATTATTTAGTTCTGAATCTTAGTTTACTCCTTTTTTCCCACAGTATTGGGTCATTGGAAAAGTTATGACACATTTGTGCACAGAAGAACAGAAAACACGTCATGACTTTTCTGATGACCCAGTAGAACTAATAGTATCTTTCTTGCCTATTTCATGATTTTAGTATATATAAGAATGTAGGCTTACAAATTATGACCTACTTTGCAAACCAAGTGTTATTGAATGCTATCCTGTCTATCCTTCTCTGGAACATTGAGACATCCCCAAATCAAACTCTTCCCATTTACTTGCATTTTCTGGCATGCTTAATGCTTGCAATTTCCATCAAGCTCAGACTGAAGGAGCCACAGCTTTAAGTAGTCAAGGAAACCAGGGAGACCATGGTGTATTGATTCTACCTTTTCAGAAAATCCTAACCCATGGGGCCGGCAGGTGGCATGGTGGTTAAGGATGTCCCACATGGCTGGTGGTGGTTCGAGTTCCGACCTGGCAGCTTGCCTTCTCATTTTCTCTCTCTCTTTCTCTTGTTCTGTCCCTCTCTGGTCAAATTAAAAATAAATAAATAAATAAACAAAGTTAAATAAAATAATTATTTTAAAAAAAGGAAAGAAAATTCTAACCCACTAGGTTTACTGAATTCTAATTCATGCCAGGAATTTGCTAGTATATTTCCAAAGCTGCTAAGAAATACTCGAAGTAGTTTTATAAATTCCAAGCACAGTCATTTAAAAATTTTCATTTGTTGTGTTGTCACAGGGCATATGTGCTTGCCAGAGAGAGAGAAAAAAGGAGAGAGAGAGAAAAAAAAAGGAGAGAAAGAGAGAGAAAGAGAAACAGAGAGAGGCAGGTGGGGGTGAAAGGATAAGGGAGAGCATCCCCCAATGGGGATGTTCTCATCTCAATTCCTTCTTCTCTATATCCCCATTCCGTTGGGATCTGGAACACGCATGCACATGCACCCAGTGTGTTTTTCAAGCCATCAGGGCTAGGATTCAAACTGTGTGGTTGGCCATGTGGGATCTGGCTTCCTTAACCACTAGGCCATGGGGCTGGCCCAGGCATAGTCATTTTTCTTATAAACAGGACAGTTGGTGAGATAATATGGGCAATGACAAAGCACTATCAGACCTGTGTTAATGGTATATAATGTTCTTTATACTAATAACAACCAATATTTATTTTGTTCTTTGTACTTTACTGTTAAGCCATAAGTAAGAAAAACAATTTTTATTTCAAGTCCTCTACTTCTTTTTAAGACTTTCTTATTTATTAAAAAAGCAGAATAGTTTCATCTTCATTTACTTTAAAGACATTTGGGAGGATAAAAGCAGAGTAGTAACTCTGAATGTTCTTTGAAAACAAAGGGAGCTTATGTAAGGGGATGCTATATTAAAGTTCTTACAAAATGGAATTAAAGTCCAAGTTTATTTTGGAGCAAAAAAAAAAATGTAGTTTCTAAAAAATATAATACACATTTCAACGAAATTTTTGAAGACCTCTCACAGAGATGAGATTTTACAGTAATAATAAATAGAAGAAATAATCTAACCTGATAGAGCAATGAAATGTAATCAAGAAGCATATATCTTTGTTCACAACCATATAGCACATCTAATGCCCAAAAGAAATTGCTTTTAAGTTGTTCAAAGTTTCGGATGATTTATTCTTTTGCCAGACTTTCTGGATGGGACTACCAAATGCTAACTCTCCTAAGAAGAGAGATTTTTCTCAAATCATTGGAAACAGCAGGTATAAAATTCAGAAATGTAAACTCTAAAGCTGAAAAAATACTTAGTTTGGATCTGAAGTCTCCTCAGCTGGCTGGATTCCTTTTGAGTATAGTACGAACTGAGACCCAGGGTGTTCAGTTAAAAATGAATCAAAGGGACATTTCAGTTTCTTCCCTAAGGGCAGTTTCTAAATGAAAAAATTAAGAATTCCTTTATGGAATTTTTCTTTATGGAAAACTAGGAGCAGATCAGCAAGGGTCAGAACTCACAGGTTTGCAGGCAAAAGAGCCAGATCCACAGGTGGTGCCGTGCCATCTTCTGCTGGAGCCTGATCATCGCTTGTCACTCTTCTGGTTGGTTTCGCTTGAGTTTTCTTTTTATAGCCAGTGTGAGAAAGGAAGTGGAACTAACTGATATAGGAAGGATTGGCTTATGTTATACCTTTTTCCGATCTGTAACACAAAGTACTTAGCACTAATTACTCATGTATTCAACACGTGCTTCATGCCTACTATGTGCCAGGTACTCTTCTGGGCTCTGGCAGTATAAAGAGCAACAAAACAACTGATCATCATCTTTTCCTGCAGTTTAGTCTCTTTTTGGAGAGCCCAACAATAAAACAGGCAACTCCAATATAGTGTGGTAAGTGTTGGAACAGGAAAGCACAGGGAATTATAAAAGCAGCAAGGGTGAAGACTGAGTTAGGATTGCTAGGCAAAACGTGGTGGGAGATCAGGAAGAGGAGACTGTCTCAACACATGGTGGGGTCTTAATAAACGGTAGCAATTAAAGTGATAAATTATATAATTGTGTAATTATAATAAATAATCAATACATTGTGATATTTATGATTTAATACAAATATTTAACAGTAAGATATAATCATATATAATTATATGATATAGAGTGATATACATTAACATATCTATAATGTATAATGCTATTGGGTGATTGGAAAAGTCATGATGCATTTTTGCATAGAAAAATATAGCAAAAAATACATCATGATTTTTTTTAAAAGAGATTTTTGCTATAGGGCACATGCTGTGCTTGCCAGAGAGACAGAAAGCAAGAAATCACCCCCACCCCCAGGAGGGATGGCCACACTACAATCCCTTCTCCTCCATTTTCCTCTCGGGATCTTGGGCACATACACACACACACACATGCCTGGTGTGAATTTAAACCACCAGGTCCAGGACTCGAACCGCGGTCGTCGACTACATGGGATTGCAGCAACATAGCCGCCATTATACCAACTGCTGTTCCCCTGAGAGTAAGTTTTAAGTTTCAGGGTCTGGGACTCAAGCCATGGTCGACTACGTGGGAGTCCCGTGACATAACCGTTTTGCCATCTGCTGGTCCCAATCATGACTTTTCTGACAACCCAATATTATAATTGTAAGATTTTATGAAATTATCACATTTTATTACAGACACCATGAGGTTTGATAAAATTTAAAGCTGAGGAACCAGAAGATGGCATAGTGGTTACTTTACTTGGTTCCCACGTAGTTGACTGCGGTTTGAGTCCTGGACCTGGCGGCTTAAAACTCACATCATGTGCATGTGGGTGCATGCCCAAAATCCCAACAGGAGAATGGAGCAGAAGAGACTGTGGTCTGTCATCCCCTCTGGGGGGTGATTTCCTGCTTTCTGTCTCTGTCTCTCCAGCAAGTGCATGCATCCTCTAGCAAAAAATCTCTCTCATAAAAAAAATTAAAGTTGAAAGGATTTTTTGGACCACCTAGTCTGTTTTGCTAATGGGGAAATGGGCTCAGAAAGGGAGGAAGTGATTTTTCCAAGGATCACACAGTGACTTTGTGAACTGTGGTAAAAGACTGAAGCTCATAGGCATGAGAGACGGCAAGTGCAGAGAGGCACGTGTGGGTGGGACTGAGCTAGATGTAGCACAGAATTGTGCCCCAGTAGGACTGTACCCCAGCAGAGGCCCCCATCATGGTTAGAAAAAATAAGAATGGGCTCATAATGCATGTGTGTGTAGGGGGTTGAAAAGGGGGTTGATCAGGCAGTGGTGATGACGATAAATACTTGGGTGCAGAAGCCAAGCAATTTGAATAGCTCAATTTAACTCTAAAGGGAATAGTAATGATTGGTTTCCCATTTAAACTATGAGAGGGAAGAGCAAAATAAAGCAAAAATAAAACAAAGCAAAACAAAACTCATTATACTTGAATGTATACTGACCTGTCATACCCAATTATCAAAATACAGTAAAAATTATGAAAATTGGTAAGCAAGAAAATGCTACTCATGATTAGCATTTACATCAATATAGCAGACCACAGATAATCCAGTTACTGGAAATCACAGAACTTTAAAACAACTATTGCGAATATTTAAAATAACTTATGAGAGAGAGACATTGTATGTCTCCACTTAATATATACTGATGGTCCACACTCTATGGCAGAAACGGAAAGATTAGAGGATATAGAAGCATGGAAAATGGTTACACATTCTGGAGACAGTGTGGGAAGAGGGTGAAAGGAGGGAGAGATGGTGAAGAAAGCAATCAAGGAGAAAAATAGGCAAGACATTTATGAGACACAGAAATGGATGATTATCTGTTGATGATAACTTAGTATCTTTAACTGGACTGGTGTGAAGTGTATTCATGTTGGGTAAATTCATTTTACAAGTGTAGTGATGTATAGTGATTGAATGTATAAAATAATAATAATAATAAAAGGCTAAAACAAAAAATCATAAAAGGCAAAAATTAAAATAATAATAATAATAATAGGCAAAACAACTTACTAGAAAAGGTGCAAAAAAGGGGGTTGGCAGATGGCATGGTGGTATAGAGCGCTGGACTCCCACATGGCCGATCATGGTTCAAGTCCTAGACCTGGTGACTTGCTTTCTCACTTTCTCTCTTGTTCTGTCCCTCTCTGGTAAAATTAAAATAAATAAAGTTAAATAAAATAATAATTTTTTAAAAAAGGTGCAAAAAAGTTTAAGAGGTGAAATATTTCTGGGAAAACAAAACAAAACAAAACAAAACAAGAACCAAAAGAACATTCTAAAATTTTAAGGTATGATATTTTAAACAAAATTAATTAAATGAGTTAGCAGCACAACAGGCTTTCTAGAGAAAGGAGTCGGTGAAATTTAAGATAATAAAAAACAACTCAAAAGGAAATCGAGAAGGAATAAAAAATAAGTTTAGAGAGAAACCTGATAAAAGAGTAAGGATGAATTTAACAAAAGACACTGACAACTAGAAAAATTAACGCAGAGAAACTAAATGAAACTTAAATAATTGGAGTAAGATACTTGTATATGGATTAAAAGTTTTAACACTTTTATGATGTCAGTTCTCCCAAATTAATCTACCAATTCAATACAATCTCACTCAAAATCCTATTCTAAAATTCATATGGAAATGTAAAGGACTTAACTACACAAACAACTTGAAAGAGGGAGACCAAGGTTGGAGAGCAAACAGTATCTGATTTTAAGAATGATACATTTAGATTGTAGTGTTGGCTTAAATATAGATAGATTGATGGAATAGAATCGACAGTTCAGAAATAACCTACACAGGGTTACTGCCCTGTAGGGCAGAAGTTAAGAGGGAATCCTTTAACATATAACTGACGATGGTTCGAATCACAACCTTGGTGGCTTAAAAAACACTCTGGGTGGGGCTGGCAGATGGCATGGTGGTCCAAGATGCTGGATTTCCATATGGCCAACCAAAGTTCGAGTCCCGGATCTGGCAGTTTGCTTTTTTACTTTCCCTTTCTCTCTCTCTGATCAAATTAAAAAAAAAATAATATGAAGAACAAATGGAATTAAAAATAAATAATTCTTAAAAAAAAACCCACAAAAACACTCTGGGCATGTGTGCCCATGATCTTGTTATGGTATGGAGAAATGGAGGACAAAAAGACTGCAGTATAGACAGTTCCCAGCACCAGAAAGGTGCTTTCTCTCTTTCTCACATATGTGCACAGACCCTCCAGCATTTTTAAAAATAAATATAAAAAGAAATAGACCTACACAAAAGTAGACAAATGAGTGTTGATGAAAGTACAAAGGCGATGAAGTGCAAAAAGGATAGCCTTTTCCATGAATAATGCTAGAACTATTGGATACCCTTGTGCCAAAAACAGAGAGAGAGAGAAAAAACCCACAAAAACAAAAACAAAGAGCAAGAAAGAAGAAAGATAAGAAAGGAAGGAAGAAAAACTAGAGAGAATTTTAATTCATGCCTCGTGCCATATGCAAACATTCGTTAAAAATGAATTATGGACCTAAAGGTCAAACCTAAAATGATAAAACTTCCAGAAGAAAACATAAAAGAAAATATCTGCAACCTTAGGGTAGACAAAGATTTCTTAGATACAACACCAAAAGCATAATCTATAAAATAACAGCTTTATAAATGGAAACTCCCCCAAATTAAGAACTTGCTAGTTTTGAAAAACACTGTTAGAATAAAAAGGCAACTCACAGACTGGAAGAAAGTTTTTGTGATGCATACATTTAATAAAATAAATGTGCAAAGATTCAAATAAACCACCAAATAAAATAGATTAGCAAACAAGCAAATGAAAAGATATTCCTCTTGGAATCTTGGGCACAAATTCACATCTCCTCTCGGGATCTTGGGCATAAATTCACATGCATCCCATGTGAGTTTAAGCCACCAGGTCTGGGACTCAAAGCATGGTCAACTACATGGGAGTCCAGTGACAAAGCCATTATGGCTACTGCTAGTCCCGTAACAATTTCTTTAAAAAATTAAAATTAAACTACACCTATCATGCAATCCAGTTGTTCTACTCCTAGGTATTTACTAAAGAGAAATGAAAGCATATGTCTATATAAAAGCTTATACTTGAAAATTTACCACAACTTTTAACTGTAACAACCAAGAACTAGAAACAACTCCAATGTCCATGGATAGGTGAGTGGGCAAATAAATTGTGTTATATTCATACACTGGCATGCTACTGAACTATAAAAAGAAATGAACTATTTTTTTTTTGAGAGGTTTTCGCTATAGGGCACGTGCGCTCGCCAGACAGAGAGAGATAGAGAGACAGAAAGCGAGAAATCACCCCCCCCAGACGGGATGGTCACGCCAAAATCCCTTCTCCTCCATTCTCCTCTCGGGATCTTGGGCATGCACGCACACGCGCCCGGCATGAGTTTTAAGCCACCGGATCCGGAACGTGAACTGCGGTCGACTACATGGGAGTCCAGCGACATAGCCATTATGATAACTGCCAATTCCCAAGAAATGAACTATTAAGACAGATAATAACATGGATGAATTTCAACCTAATTATGTTAATGAAAGAAATTAGACACAAAATACACTGTATGTTTCATTTATTAAAAAAATTTACAAAAT